CACGTGAAAAGCAGAGTGCTGCATCTCAGGATTATTGTGCCCCAAACAAAGCTAGGGAGACCGGATGACGAAGGATCATCCACCCATTGATCGGATTTCCTTTCCTGGTGTCCTTATATCCATGTGATCATTCACTCACCTGCGACAATATATCTGCTGAATGCTGCTGAGCTTCGGCGAAGCAGAGCCTTGCGCATGGAGAATCGCACATCGAATCATCACCACCGTACTCCTTGGATTACATATTAGACCAATATGATGTAGATTCTGCATTGTGGTTTCAGCGGCAAGGCAATTGCTGCTAAGGTTCGTCGTACATATGATCAGCCTCCGGACCATGCCATCGTAGCAGAGCACCGCAAGCTTGTTTCGACCGAGGCTTTAGAAACCTTTGTACGTATCTAGTGAATATGATTCGGTGTAGATTACCCATGTTGCCTGGGGCCTTGCAACAGCTATACACAGGACTTATGTATGGTTTAGGGTTAGGGTTTACTTGGGGGGTCGGGGGTCTGAGTAAGTAGTTAGTACGTAGACTTATAAGTACCCTTCAAGGGCCCCTAAAAGAGGGTTATGGTCCTTATTATAAGTCCCTGAAATAACCAGTATTACTAAGTCCCCCGACCCTCCAAGTAGGTTAAGGTTTAGGGGCTATAGGGTAGGGTTCCGGGGTGGCAGGTGTACAAAGGATCTGGAGTGGCCTTATCTGGGGTTGGGGTTTGAATGCTCGACAGCTGCATCCGTGGCCCGTGTGGCCTTGCAGGACATGCCTTCAAATTAGGATTTTGGGTGTGTTACCGGGTTTTGGCGGCTTTGGGATGTGCATGCGCACTAAATTAATTGCAACAAGATATGTTGTCTTTTCGGGCTTCTAGGGAGTCAAGTTCAGGGGTTGAAATATGTCGGAAAGGGCATGAAGATCTTATGAAATTCAGGCTTGGGGCTTAATAATCTTCCATCAAAAGTAACCCAATAGACAGAATCCCTGTGCATAAAACCTTATGAAATTCAGGCTCGGGGCAATCAATCTTCCATCAAAAGTAACCCAATGGACAGCATCCCTCTGCATAAAATCTTATGAAATTCAGGCTTGGGGCTTAATTCTTCCATCAAAAGTAACTCAATAGACAGAATCCCTGTGCATAAATATCTTATGAAATTCAGGCTCGGGGCTTAATAGTCTTCCATCAAAAGTAACCCAATAAACGGATAAAGCGATTTAGAAATGATGAATTCTCACTGATCTGGACTTCATAAGTAGGGTATGGGCTAAAGGATTCTACCGTAAAAAGTAACCGAATAGACGGATAAAGCGATTTAGAAATCATGAATTCTCACTGATCTGGACTTTATAATTGGGGTATGGGCTAAAGGATTCCACCGTAAATGGAAACAAAGCTAGACACAAAACAAGTTTGCCCGAAATGGTTTTTTTTGGCACATGGTGAAACGAGGCGGTTGCGTCACAATTAGAACAGTCATGTTAAATGAGGCGGTTGACGTAGAGGGCTACATATCGCAAGATGCTCATGCACTGAACGATCTGTTGGGCGGACTCCGGATTTTCGTACCCACCCTTCGTGGTGCTGCACGAAGTCAGTGCCGAGCCTTCGGAGTTGCCTCAAATCCCGGAACATTGTGCGGGGCCCTTGTAACGGCCAGTCGGCAAAATCGACCTCCTCCAGCTCGGGCAAAGCTTCAGTGATAGTTCTCCATCGCTCCTCCGCGATGTCAAACAAGACTGGGAGAGTACGCACATCGCGTTCCCCGGTGCCTCCCGAGGTCACACCCTGCTTCGCCATGTCTCCCAGCGCTGCGAGCCGGTCTTTCCGAACAGCTTTTGCAAGGAAGACCCGACCATCCTCATGCCAAATGAAGTACCTATCTCCGTTCAAGATCACCTCGTTTCCATTGTCGATTGCAGGCTCTCTCTCTTCTCCCACATCCGACCCTCGGCTGTCATAGATGATCATCCAGGTACTCTCTGCATCAGATGGATTTGGCCTCGGGGCCTCCCCTAAGCCAGCAGCGGAACCAGTCGTATGAATCCGCCCGTCTTGCCCCAACTTACCGGTCACTCTGCGCCGAGCTCCAGCCTGGTGGATTCGTCCTGCCATGATCTCCGCCTGGGACATCAAGGAGCGTAGCTCATCCACGGCCAAGTCGCCGCCACCACTGTGACGAGGCAAGTAGGTGTCCCTCTCGCGAATCCTACGGGGCAGCCTTTCACCATCCATCCGAATGACTTCCGAAAAGATATCCCCCGCCTCCAGGAGAGTGTCATTGATGTCCCGATCGGGGGTCGCAACAAGACACCTATCGCCCTCCAGACACACCAGCACCAAGCGCCAGTGCAACAAGGCAGGATCATCCCTGAAGCGCACGAGCGCGCTCTCGCGCGCGAGCCACTTCTTCGGAACTGCCGTCATCGGACTCTTCGGTTTCAGGGTTGTCGGCAGGCTTGCCGGCTTCCTTCGCCAAAATCAGTGCCTGATCCCAAGCAATCGGCTGCCCCCGAGCCACGGCTACGGGACTGCCTCCCAAAGCACGATGCCTTGCAGCCAGTATCGACAGCACTCCGAGTAGGAAGCCCAAAGCCACGGAAAGCAGATGAAGCTCAGATAGACTAGCGTCTTTTTCGCAATGTGCGACTTTCCACTCACAAACAGCCAGCGACTGGTTAAGATGCGCTATAAGCTCCAGCTGATCGAACAACCGTGCCCTAGTTGCCTCGCACCTCTCTCCCAGTATACTCCAGCTGCTCCTTTCCGGATAATCACACCCAGTGCGTGCGCTCTTGCCCCAGCTGTCCCCAAGGATAAGCACAGCGAAGCGCCCGGCGTCTATGGCTAAACCCCTCAAGAGCGCACGCCAGTCTACCATCGAGCTGATGAGACTTGAAATTTTGCAGCGGAATTCGCGATGCTTCAGCAATCCTGCATCAATGCTATCATGTGTCTGTGCATGTATTTATACATATATGTATATACATTTTCGGACAGATCGCTACACTTAAACAACCCTAAACCCTAAACCCTTCAATCTCTTAACCCTAAACCCTGCCCTTCGTGCCTGAAGTGTTTTGGGGTCTATAAACCCTCTACGCTCGTGTCTGCTAGCCTTTGCTAGCCCCAAAATGCCGAACCGCACCCAACCCTAAACCCTAAACCCTAAACCCCTAAACCCTAAACCCCTAAACCCTAAACCCCTAAACCCTAAACCCTAAACCCCTAAACCCCAAATTGGGGCAGGCGAGGCCTTAGTTCTAAACACGTAGACGGGTTTGGGGGGGCCCTGGGGAATTGTGCAAAGCTGTTTTACTTGAACAAGTTCGTCACACGTTTGGGAT